TATATATCTAAAAGGTATGTTCAAGAAAAAAAACGATATTCAGAATCTGAGCTATTGTCTATGATGACTCGTTTCCAACGAGCAAAGTCAAAGGATATAAAATAACCAAATATAATGATTTTAATGACCAGCCAATGAGATATGTCGTCCTTATCCGATTAGATCACCCAGTGGTGTCTAGAGGACTTCGTGCTGTTTACAAACCAGCTAAATTTTTTTTATCACCGGAGTTAAGTCACAGTTTGAAAGCAACGGAATTACTGTTTTTGGACAAAGCGCCCCGAGACGAGTCATCCAATGAGTTAATACACACACACACACACACAATAGCCATTATACATATACAGTGAAACTTTATGCGACGGTTCTTCCGACTTTTTAATGTATTCGAAAGGATACAAAGCCGTCCAGAACATTTCTGATTAAGTTACAAGGCGAGTTGAAAAACTATTATAGAGGGCTACGATCTTGGCTCACGCCCAAAGCCATCAAATGGAGTCCATGATCAACAGCAATCGGACAGTACTGAGTATAGAAAAATGTTCTTTGTAAAAGCCATCAAGAAATTGCAGAAAGAGACCTTGAAACGTACTAGTCAAAATCCATTTGTCATAAGAACGTCTACGGCACGATGGCGCTCAGAAACAAGCACGGAACTCTAATAGCGGTTGCAACGATAAGTTTATTTCTTACTAGAAATTTTCGTATTTATACAAAATCATAGATAGCGCAACATAAAGATAAATATATCCGGAACGTTTTTAGCGATCAATTTAAGCAGCTATACATTTTTCCACAAATAGGTCATAAGCTTTTTACTAACACCATATAAAATATGTGATGAAATTGTTTTTTAGTAGTAAATTATGTTTATAACTATAAGTAGCACAAAACGATTCAGGCTCGAAAAAACAATCGGTGCACACTTGTTTAAAAACTACCCCATTTCACGAACTGGCAATGAATAGCGACATATTGTTTGCTTTATATCTAAATAGCGTCTTCATATAGCACCGCGTTGTAAAATTTCAAACATCTATTTATGTCGCCGAATTTTGTTCAATATCAGTATCGGTTTTAGATTTGTTGCTCACACTGTACCTTCAGGAAATCTTTAATTGCCATCTAGGTGTGTTTTTTTTTTGCCCCGTCCGCTGGCCTTCGACTATACCAATTTCATCCACTTAACTATGTGTATCGTTGTTTCGTGTTTCGGGATGCACAAGCTCTGCAGAATGTACACGTTTATGTGAGATTATATTTCTCATTCTAAATGCAATGATTCTGTCACTCTTAGTAAAATAGATGTACTAATTTGACATTGTACTGTAATACCTATAGCATTCCAAATGCAGGAACCAAGTTGATGTTCTGTCTAATCACTTCAACGATTTCCGCTTACCCTTAATGTTTAGCTCTGCGGGATCAAGGGAACCATGTCTCATATCCGCGTGTCTATTAGAAAGTTCGGATGTCGGCCCGACTTGCAGAAATATACCGTTACGCTGCTTATGTAAGGCTAGAAGGTTCTTACGGCAATTTTCGTCTACCTAACGATTTAAGGTAAAACAAAACGTTAACCCCCCCCCCCCCCCGAATAATACCGTTATAGAGGGTTCGCTGAAGACTAATGTCTCTCAAATCGTTCTCAAGTTTTCACACCGAAGTGAATATGTTCACTATGTTTTCAATCTTTATCATCACTGCTTTATTTATGAAAAAAACATAATCCCAAACGTAAGTTCTCGAAGTTGTATCGATCGATATAAATTGTAAAAGTGCTTATGAAAGTGACTGCAGGTAGAAATGATTTTTAAGAATGAACTAAAATCTCTCAACGGTCAGAACTAGTAGTAACGGCGCGCCTTCACCTGGCTTAAGACGCTTCATTGGGTACTCTTTGAAGAAAAAAAGCAGCAGATAGTTCAACAACGCATTAACGGTGAAAGCCGAAATGTCCATCAAACGCTTGCGATGTACGCGCAATCAAATATAAATGTATGCTAGCCGTACGCGTAACAAATACACCAGAATGGTGGCAAAGATAAGCACTACTGGAGAGACGGTGAAGTCCCACAGCTCTCGCCTGAAGTTGGTTAAGCAATAAAAACGCTTCTTTGGGATTCGCTGGCGAGGCTGTGAGGAATTTTCGACATGTTTATTTCAGGATCTGTTTACATGCGATTTCAGGATCTGTTGATTGTAAAGGAACCTGTTTTTAAAAGTGCGAACATTTCGTCGGTGTCATTCATGAAAAGATTCGTTTGTATTTCATCGGTAAAATTATAGGCCCATCTATTTCAGCGAGTAGGGTTGGACGGCTAAATGTGTTTGAAAAAACGAGGAAGTGCCAGGTCGGATCTCGTCATTAAGCTGTAATCGTGCAAGACGTGTAGTTCCAAAAAACTGCCGACCTTACGTCCAATGATTCAAGATCCGCGGATAGCTTTGACTCAGTCATTAATATATGGTCAATTTGATATCTGTGCACCCGAAATGTTCGTGTTACTGAATAGTATCCTGCTTACGTATTGCTTGGTTCCATAACCTGAAAACGTTTGTTCTGTCCTCCATGATCTAAGCGTTACAATCGAATACTTTGCTAAAGTTAATCATGGCGATTACGTCCCATAGACAAAAAGAATTCATGTATAGGTGACTATACAAATATACTTGTCCGTACGAGCCTATCTGAATTCCAGGCCACTTATTTGTTTCAGCTTAACAACCACTCACAGGTGAAATGCACGAAGAAGAAGAAAATATTTTTTCGGCCTACAAACTTTCGGCACACCTGCCCCTGTGGAGGGCCTACTGTGATCCTATGAACTAGACACAATTACATTGCAATACCAAAAACTCGAATTCCGCAAAAAAAAAATAGTTCTTTTTTTTCCACAAGAATGTATTGGGAGTTACTTGATTAGAACAACAATGCCGAGAACAGGTACATTTGTTTTAACCGGTGTAGAAGTATAGCGTTATATTGGCATTCACAATGTATATTATCGCGTTGTTTTTATTTAGCACGTCCAGTTATCTGAAATGACATACCCGTAGTTATGGGCAACTCCGCTATATGGAATACAAGTCTGTGGTTCCCAAACATGGGTAATCAGCTAGAAAGCTAGAGACCGTCTTTTTTTAAGACATGAATTATATACCTCGATACGCCTTCAATTCGATTTATTGAAGGAACCGATTTGTCGGCATCCACTCGGTCGGCAGCCCAGGTTGATATGCACAGGCACCTAATATTTGGCACAGCCCGGGAATTTTTATATACGGAAATATCCTAGGATACGAGCAACTGTAATTAACAACCTATATTCCCGTCCCCAAACTGTAACTAGAAGTGCAAACGCTGTTCTGGGAACGTGTTGTTTACGACTGATGCGTTATAGAGACGAAAAGACCATCATCTAAATCAAATAAGTTACCTCGAATTGCGTCATGTGACAAACCTAGAGTTCTGTGCTAGTCAATAGCTAAACCATTTATGTACTGATAATTGACAATTGTGGTTCGACCGGTGGAATATTCTTTCGATCGCTTCGGTAGAGATGCAGTACAAATCCATAATTAAAGGTGTTTCATTTGAGGACGCTTTTTCCTAGTAGATGAAAAACCGCACGAAGAAGGATCGGCTTTTATTTGAGCCCGTAGTGTTTGAATGACAAGAATGATTCGTTCAGCCTGCATTTCCCAGAATGGTCCATTTGGGACAGTTAGTACTATTATATATATATATATTTATAGCTTTATTTATTCAGATATGTAATGCGTCGTTGGCGGCACTAAGACAGCGACCACTCGTTTTTTCAACTGAAGTCTTGGCCTTCTAAGCCATCGCGTTGATAATACATACATATTCTTAGTTGGAAATACTAGTTGAATGATTTGCGATACGGCCTAATGTACAAAGGAACGAATTATTTGCAGGATTACAAATGAAACACTTAAGCTTTTTTGTTTACTGACTGAGAGTTAAAGTTCCTCTTTTTTCTATGTACGACACAGAGTAATGACATTCGCTTTATCGTCGTACAGGGCGAGGCACTCAGATACAGGCAAGCCCTGGGAAGCCGCGTCTCGCAGCTAACACGTGCTTATTTGCTATTCTCTGTAGTAGAAAACAGCCAATTTTCTTCTAGAAGAAAACAGCAAACACATGTTTGCTCAAATCCTGTTCAGAGATCAGTTATTATCCAATATGGTCTGTAGAATAAACCTCCGCCAATACTATAACCTTCATTTTACCGTAAATTGGCAATTCACGTTATTTTTGGTTTTGGTGCGGTCTTTGAACAGTTCGAGAAAGATTTTCAACAAAAATAGAAAATCACTAATGGAATTGGACTTAGAAGGCTCGGAAGTCGATCATCATGGTTCAAGAAATCTTTTTTTTTTATTCAGTTCGATCATTTATATAAAAACACAACGACAATTTCACCGAGCAGAATATGAATTAACAAATTGGGTCACCTACCTTAGCTTCTGTGGTTAACCTTTTTGAAACTTTTCGGGTCTCTTCAATCTCTTCTTATTATCGCCCATTTTCAGCCTTTACATTTTTGAGCCTTTTCATTTGCCACCGCCTAAAATTCAATCATGCATGAATTTTTTCTTCTCAGCGTACTTGAGTGACACTTTAACATGTTTGCATCTACCAATGTTTTCCCGTGCACGATTATTATTGAAAAGTTATTTGCGGATTAGTGAAATAATACTCTAAAAATAACTTGTGGGTGCTATAAGTCCCGAATCGAACATGTCATCTTACCTTCCTCATGACTTATTACCATATTGAATAAACATGCCAATAAAAAATAACATTCTAACATAAAAAAATAGCACTTCATGCAAAAAAGAAACAAATTTCTAACGATACTAATTTGCTTACGCCGCATTTCTTGGCAATCTTCTCTCGTTCGTCGTTTGTATACAAAGGTTTTCGTGTTTTTCACAGAAAAACTTAGGCAATCGATGTGTACCACATTACCTAGTAACTTACGTTTCGCAGATTTTCTATGAGCTCCAGTTATAAATAGTGAGTAAACTTGTGTTTTGTGGGCTGAACCGTTTGATCGGATAGAATCAGTTATGACAACCGAAACGAAGCGTTTATGAGAGCGTGTTCTAAGCGGAGTTTTTCTATCCCGTTCAGTAATCACTCTTACTGCGGTCCTTCCCAGTTTTTTTCTTAAATCTATGTGAGCAGGTGTGATCGGTACCAGGCATCATACAGGTTTGTCATGACTAAGATCGGCCATCGTTGCTCCGTCAATAGTTTATGACGGCCCACTTTTTTGCTAACGTCTAAATGACAAGGTAACCGTTGCATTCCAACGACCTAACTCTTTACGGTAAACCTAGGCGCGCTCTGAACGTGACCGGCTATAATATTCGTGCTATTATCGGTTCAGCGTTCGTACCTACACAGGAAGTTGATGGTGGGTACATTGTCTCCTCTAGAAAACACGCATACGTCGGAATATTATATATTAGAGTGACGTTGCAAGCGATGCCGTTATTAGCTCAGGACTTACCGCTAAACTGACTAGTGCAACCCATCTTGCTTACGGATACCATCGGTAAGGTTTTCGGATCTTGTACAGATAATCCCAAAGGCAGCGAGCTCTAGGACCGTAATGTAACTATAATGCTTTTTAGAGGCTTTTGGGAAATCAATATGTACAAATTGAAACTTTTAGCTGACTGCCCGCACAGGACTCAGTGGTAGCAAATGATCTTCGGACTTCCATACACTTTTCTTGTAATACACTGGTTAAGGATGAAGTGAGTGGACTAAGATACGATCCCGTTATCGCACATAGTATAATATTAGTTCGGCAAGGTTCGTGTAGATTGTGCTGTATACCTGTTTATGTAATACACTTCGTAAAAATCGTGAACTTTGTTTTAGGATATGTGAAGATCATTCCACGTGTTCTATAATGTTTTACAGGCAAAAATGAAGGTTTTCTCAACTATTATGGTGTTTCTTGTCTTCGTGACAACTATTAGTAAGTTTATATTCACTTAGACTATATAATAGTAGTGTAACCTTGTGCTGCATAGATATGATAGGCTATTCAATACGATTTCAGCGATTTATGTTCGAAGCCTGATTTGAATTCCTACCTACGAGTACGTGAAATTAACGATTATTCTATTGATCTATTCATGTAAGTATACTAAGGTAATCAAATGTTCGGTGACGAACGGCAGACAAGTTTGTACCGAATATCGTTTAGCCAGGGCAAGGTTTAGAAGGCTGTGCCTTATAATATACGGGCAAAACGTTCAATTTTACTACGAAATTTAGTTGTTCACGTCTGCTAGCCTAAAATCAGTAGACGTATCAAAGAGAAGCTATCTTGATAGCCGTATAGAATAGATCTAAAATAAAACGTTATCGATGCCTATTGTAGTTTTTTTATAATTCATAAATTGTTACATTTTTCTGACAATGCCAGTGGTTCCAGCGTCCCAGCAACAAACAAATGAGACCGGCGTATTGGATTACAGGAACGGAACTATCGTGTCTTATGGAAAAACTTATTACGTCCCTTCTGGATACCCACAAGGATTCGGCTGGTTAGTTAAGCCAAATGTAAATAGGGCGTTCAACGATGCGATCTTTAAACGTCGGCGATAGATCGGTGATGAGAAATATTAGGGCGCGTACATGCTGATATTTACATAGAGCTCTCGTGAGTAGCCAATTACAGTAGAAGCATAATTATGAACCTTCGACAACAGATCGAACATGCTATTGAATGGCCGTTCGATGTTCCTCGGCTGCATGAATAAGTCAAAAAATGGAAAACCCTACGCCTTATATGTCGTACGAAGAGAAACAGGAACATAAAAATGTAAAAATCAAGGATGAAGTAACAATAACGATATCATTACAATCTGCGTGTCGTATGTGAATGCTGTAAAAACGACGTTGGATTAATTCGGTTTAGAAATTGGAAAAAAAATGCCCCTGTGAGCTTTTGTTATGAGCAGATCCATATGAGCACACTGACATACACCAGATACCCCGTCTGTCATCCACGGGGGGACATCCCTTACGGTTAATACAAAATGAATCTCTTATTTCCAGCTTTAAACATATGGTAGCAGAACAGCGCTAAAGGCACCATCTTCTATCCTACATAACCTAATATGTAGCATTTTATTTCACCCTGTACTTAACGTTCTGTCACGGGTTAGGTGTCGTGTTGTGCCCATCGGATCAAAACTCTGCTAAATCTATGCTGCGATTTACTTATATTTAATAAGTATATGATCATTTTATACCATTCTGAGGATATAATTATATACTATAAACACCTTTGGCACAATATGCTTATAAACTATTGTTAACAGGACGTCAAACGATTGATATATATAAAAATTTCTAGCTGAATAAAATTCGGTCGAGGTCATATCCTTTGTGTATTAAGGATGGCTGTTGTGGGTTAGCTATTAACATGACCTCTTTAGACATAAAACATTAACCTTTTGATTATATATATCGTCTATTAACACAAATCGTCTAGCGCATTGTTGCGATGCAGGTGGGGCTTGACAGTTGGCCTCTTTTACCCAAAGGCTTAGCTGCCCAAGCCATTGTGTCCACGTATACTTGTATATACTGACCAAGTAGATATAGCTACACTTGCCACCGCTTCATTCCCAAACCCATTCCGAACAATACAATATGCTCAGAAAGAAGTGTCTAAGTTGTGCATTTATCTAACTTACGCATTCTTCGCCGTTACCGTACATGAACCACTCGTGTCAACAACTTAAGTTAATTCTCGTAGCTGTGGAGATAATTGAGTTATTGCCCAAATCACTATTTTAACTTTCTGTATCAGCTGCGTTCGAATACAATCCCTGTCATCCCCAGAAAAAAAATCACCCGACACCTCACAGTCGGCAAGCGTTTCTGGGAAGCGAAACTCAAGTTTATTTATTAATCAGTAAATACTAATAGACGTGATTCACATGGCGGATGCCTAATACGCAATCGGCTGGTAATGCTAACACTGATTTGCCCCATAGGGCAGCTAACTGAGAAGTCGATGAGTGGCACAATTAGCACATTAGTTATGTATTTGCGTCATCTTTGAGTTATTGCATAGTTCCCGTCCAGGTGATAATTCAGAAAATAACGACGCTGGCATCATGAGCCGGTTTGACATATTGAGGTGATTCGAACTCGTACATTCCCGCAAAGGTTTTCGGAAGAGAGCTCCAATGGATGGGTGGACGAATGGAGATGGAAGAACTGCTACCAACAACGTCTGACAAGCATATAAAGGCTGCACCGTTACGAAGCCAAGCGCGTCCACCTCATAGTTCCCGCTGCAGTGTCCACACAACCTTGAAGCTAGATAGCTGCAAGGCACTCTATGACAAAGTCGGTCAAAGAAAACTTTTTATTTTACAGCTAAAACCGTAACGGACAATGCGGGGAGACTTAACAGCGTAGAACTGCCGTTGGGAGGTGCCTATTCGGAATCGAACCGGCATATGTATATATATATACATACACACACACACACACACAAAGAGGCTTTTGTACATACAATCAATCATGTTTTGGCGCGATAAAAACAAGCAGAAAGATAGTTTTTCTGAAGAAATTACTACTTGTAGCGTAGTATTTGTGGTTCCTTCATTGTTTTCCGTATGCTGCTTCCGTCCGCTAATTAAAACTAGAAAATACCGGTCGTAACGCCCAAAATAAGCATTTTATGCGTAATTACCAATCCAAAAACAAAAGTTTTCATCTTTTCTGGAAATCTATGAATTATGTACAGTCGCTGCTAGATCAACGTGTGATCGTCGTCTTTTCTGTTCCGAAATTAACAATGTCCTCCCGCCTTGAATTTGTGTGTTATTCGGCACGAGCGCCGTTTCATGTCAACTTCGGATAATTCCTTCCGCCGAATTTCATCGAATCACAAATTTTCATTTCCGACAACACGTAATTACGTCCTTACGTAATTACGTGCGAAGAAATCACAATGTTTATCTGGCCTTAACCAACTAATATTTAGTACCCATATGTAACCCGTGCATCGGCTGTTTGTTACCTATCGAGATAATGCATCAATTGAATACTATCGCATGTCCCTGAAGTACAACACTTTTGTTGTGGCAAAGTTCCGCTGTTGTTGGGTGTCGACTCCGTATCGTTGATAGAATGTTGTTGACGTTAGAGTACTCGACGAAACTGTAATTGCGCGACATTGGTGCCAAACAGAAAAGCGGAGTCATTTTTCCTTTTTCATCACACACGTATCCTGTTATGTTTTCTTCGCCCGTCATATGACCTATTATGCATCTTCACCCATTTATCTTTTTGTTACACAAAAGACATGCCGATAACAGGCACAACAGCAGAAGGCGCCGAAGCCAATACAATCAGCTGTACCGTTTGCTGTAGTTCAGGCCGAAACGGCTAGAACGACGTAAGCTCCAAGGGTAACAGCGACAGCTGATGACGGTCATGGAAGATAACGACTGCGAATTTAATGACAATCAACAATATCATAGCGGTGGCGGGCCGATTACACAACAGTCTTGATGTTCGAGACGAATCAGCGAACGGGTCAGCGAACCTTCATCTGTTTCGTCGGCCACTGTGCTCGATGTATATAGTTGTCAAATTCGAAGTGGGACGTGCGAAAAGAATCAACACCATTCGATTAACGGCTATTTTTCCCTTTAGTTGATAGAGATTAGTCGTATACCAGCGCGCCACCACAAAGATGCTTGCGCGCATGCTGTCTGCGGCTGGAGGCCGTTCATCCTTGCACTCTACCACCATTTTCCGTTTCATGTCCTGAACACTATCATAAACAAAGAATAGCATTCAGACTATCTAATACTTGCCGTGAATTATAACACAATCACTCGATTCCTTCCTTGTTGTGCTATGCGCGAGGTTACGTGTGTCATTGAAGTTAGAAATAGTGTTGAAAAAGCTAAAATCTATTTTGACATTAGTCTCATGTTCCTTGGGAAGCAGCAGCGGCGGCGGCGGCAGGAAAGTAGCGATGACGTGGCTAGCGCCAGAAGGAGAAATGCGCGTATGCTATTGTGTACCACGACTGCAAACAGTCGATCGCTTACAGAATCCGTAGACGGACACGAAACATCGGTGCAGTTGAACAAGTGACAAACAAGCAAAGGTAAAAAAACGTGTACATGTAACTATAAGTGCGACCATAGTTTGCGCAAACAGCATAGCGATCCCGCTTGTTCTGTTGGTTGCCGACTATGATAGTTATCTAACTCGTGACTTCGATTGTGATTAAGTTCTTATCTAAATGATAGCAAGGCATGCTTGTAGCTTCTCGGTCATAAATTTAACGGGTGCAGCTGGCGGGTTAACCGCAGAAGTTCAAGATCAGCCATTGTATCTGACCCGACAGCTGAACCCGCAGGTGAATGTAGACAGGTGGCAGCGGGTTACTGCAATAAGCACATGTATACGTAAGACATAGGCACAATGTGCCCGTTACCCCGGTGCCGAGAAACACACTTCATAGTTGGACTGCCACGCTGCTAGCTTTTCATTTCATAGTTTTCATAGAGTCCTGCGTATGATTAATTCACGCCTGCATAAATAAAGCAACGACGATGCCTAAGGCCGGAGCGGCTTACAGACAGTTGCCGGCGGGTCGAAAAAATCGACGCCAACGTCTACAACTGCTTTAGCGTAAATCTCTCTGTCCACTCGTTGGCTATACCCTATAGCAAACTAGTCATACGGGGCGGGAAATTAACCAAACACCGATCGGCGGTATCATCCGTTTTGTTAGATCTTGATCGCTGGAAAGGTAAGAAAACACAAGAAATAAGAAGGAAATAAAACAAGCGAATCTTTGTCGGACGGGCGTCCGGCCTTTCGGTCGTTCCGCTGTCGAATGCTCCAACCAGAGCTATCGGTGTTGGTCTTCGCAGATGCAGAAGATCACTGTAAAAGACACACTCTGGCAAGAAGCTGATACGATACAGGTGATGTCACTTCAGCGCAGTGGTAATATAGGTTCCGCCGTCTTGTAGACGCGCCATTGTCTGACGGGGGGGGGGGGGGGGCTAAACGCACGAATTGGGGACGGATGCTAACCATGCGTACGTTTGTTGCGCATAGCATATAAAATCGCTGTTGGTAGGATGACTTTTAAAGGTAGTTTTTGTTGTTTGTGAGCGAATTTCTGCGAGGCGAAAGGGGAGGGAATATCTTAGTTTAGATGTATGCAAACCTTCGTGCTATATCAGATTGTTATTTTTAACTAGGGTTTTTGATCTGCGTTGGATGTATATAGATTTTACAGCTATTATTATTAAAATCATTGTTGTAAGTGTAGGATCATACAGTTGCATGGATTTAATTCAGCTTATTTCTGCATATAATGCTCTTTCTAAGACTAAGTTGTGCAAGAAGCATGTGGCCTTTAAAGTTTAAATGAATAATATAGCAATATCTATAAGGTGTAAGTATCTATAAGGTGATATCCCAAGCATTGCCCCTTAACAGCTTTTCCAGCCAGCTGAAGGTCAGAAGATCCAATTAAGTAAACAACTTTTAGAATGACATAAGCTTATATAAGCGGTGCCGTCTACTTCTTTCAGTTTTTATTCGTCGTTGCCGACGATACAATGTAAGCATCTAACCAACGTAAATGGATGTGTTTCTGCTACGAAGTTAATATCACGTCTGTTGGGTTGCCCCTATCGAAATGTTCCTCATCGCCTTGTTAGGCCCTCAAATAGGCAGGATTTTCCAGCAGTCATCAACCGTCAACGAAGTGACACGTGCGAAAAATGCTTAGCTACGAGCCTGAGGGCATGCGCCTTATGGCACTAGCCCTAGCAGTGTGCTAAGGGCCTGAAGAGCCTGAGTTGTGAGGCACTCCTGGCCGAGGGTTGACATCAAGGGAAAACCGGCCTGCATAGCACAAGAGTGAAATTTTGGATTGATTCTTTAATCGATTTCGGAGCGTACAGCTGTGATTCGATGAAGTCCTAAAATAGGCTGTCTTAAAACCAGTGTACAAGCATATATTGTATTGAAACGGCTTAAGGTATTTTCTCTTCCATAGCATTTATATAGTGATAGCTTACGCTCCCAGTCGAATAGATATATGAACTGATAACATTTAACAGCAGTCATTGTTGCAATGCCATGTGTTTAGTTTTTTAATTTGTTATCGTCCTTTCAAAGGCTTGTTCATACCTGCTTGTTAGTGTAGCAAATACAGCCAGCATCAGCAAGTCAGAAAGGGAAAATGATTTATATTCATTTGCACCTCATTGCTATCATGAGTTCTCTGAAAAATAGCTCAGTCAGAGATCGAAGCACTGACAGACTATGCACGCACATTGACGATCAGGCAAATGTGTCAAGGGTATTACGTTCACGACGCTGCTACTCATAT